GGCATGAACCTGGCCCAATGCCACCATGATCTCCCAATTGCCATATGCTGTGCTTCTAGGAACATCTGTGTCCATGTCCTCATCAGTATAGTAATTGCACTGTCGTCGCTTCCTCACCTGGTTTTGCAGGTACTGCACATACTGCTGGATAATGCGCGAGGTATTTACAATGGTCAAAACTGCAGCGGAGATCTGAGTGGGCTCCATGCTTGCCGCGCTATGGCGCCTGCACGGTTAATCCTGGAAAAAGGGCGCGAAACGTAGGAGAGCTGTTCGGTTCAAGATGGCTGATAAAAGGTGGTAAATGGTTGTCTTCTGTAGCTTTCACGGAGTCGGGAAGCTCGCTAGAGCTGCAAGAGCGGGAGAGCAGAGTTTGCAGCGGAAGCGTGAGCAGAATTTGCGGTGGAAGCTGTGCTACTTGGTTCACGGTAGCCGCAAAAAGGCGGGAAATGGTTAGATAAAAGAGTAGAGAGAAAGATGAGAGGACATGTGAGGTGGATTCATAGTACCAGGAGACAGGGGGTGCACCATACTGCACCGTCTGCTGGCAGTATGGTGTCTGCCATAGCTTTCACGGAGGGAGGAGCAGCGAGTGACGGCACACACCCAGAAACACCCATGAGAATGTTTTTGCCCCATCATGCACTGGGAGCTTAACCCACAATTCCAATGGGTGGCAGAGACTGCAGGAACTGTGGGATAGCTACCACAGTGCAACGCTCCGCCATTTGATGCTAGCCTCTGTACTGTGGATGCACTCCGCCGAATTCACACGCTTTAGTGGGGACACACAACACCAAATGTATAAAATCGCTTCCAAAAATTCGAGTAGAATAAGTTTGAATTAATTTCGTACTGTAGACGTACCCTTAAACACAACGCACAATTAACCTGTGAAACTCATTGCCAGGGGACGTTGTGATGACCAAAGGTATAATCAGATTCAAAAAAGAACTTCATGAGTTCATGGAAGATAGGTCCGTCAATGCTTATTAGGCAAGATACTGAGAGACACAACCCCATGCTTGGATGACCCCAAACTTCTGACAGCCAGAAGGCCTGTATGGGGGGGGGGGGGGGGGAGGGCAGGGTATGAGGTGGATCACCCAACTGCCCTGCACTGTACACTCCCCATAAAGCACTGGTACTGTCCATTGTCAGAGACAGGATGCTGGACTTGATGAACCATTAGTGTGACGCAGTATGGCAGTTCTTAGGTACAAACAGAGGCCTTTAGTCAATAGGGCAGCTGCCCCAGCACAAAATTCACTTAATTTAAGAGAGTTCATTTTCCCAATTTTTTCTTGTTTTTAATTACCATTATTGCACCAGTACATTTTATGCTTTATATACATACATCTTTAATTTTTGCTTCTTCAGCTTTGCAAATACATAATATATTATCTCCAGAATACTAGCTAAGAGACATTACACAGAGGGAGAGGCTCCTGGTTAGTTGCTAATTGATGCTGTGAACTTCCTTAGTTTTGGAAACTGATATATAATTGAAATGACTGGACCTGCCACTGATATGGAAGATTTGAGCCAACAGCCAGGGCATATGGCCTGGTGTAGAGAACACCAGGAGAGGAAGGGGTTAATGATTTACACCCATCCATGTAACAAATTCATAGGAGAAAGGGAAGCCTCGGAGACAGGGAGCTAAACCAACAGTGAGATTCAGGAGCAAATATCAAGAGGGGAAAATACATCTGGGGATCAGGAATAGGTGGCTATTTAAAATACATCTATCCATCCAAGCCTGCAATCTGGTCCCCACTTCCACAAGTGGAACTGCAGCAGCTTTACAGAGACATGGCACTCCCACAAGTCTCTTCAAAATAGTTTTTGCTTCCTAGAGAGATGCTCCAAGTGCAAATTGGCCTCTCAATGCCCTCAGTACTAGCGAGCCTGCAGAGAGGTAGTCTACAATCGCAACAGTGGAGAAGAGAGAAAAAGGGTTGGAGACCAATTGGAAGGACAAAAGTGCCCAATTAGCTGCTCCCCTTTTAGAACTCTAGCCCTGCGATTTTAGAGGTGGAGGGCAGAAATTAAGTGAGCAAAGTTTTAATGATTCTACAGTACATCTGAGGATAAACGTGTTGCCACTAGTTGAGTGTCACAAACAAGAAGACACCTGCCTGCAAAGCCCATGTCTAGTGTTCTAGAAAGTAGATCCCAGCTACAGGAGGTTTGGGGAGACTGGCTGTTCTGCTAGGGACTCCACTGAAGCCCATATGGTGGAAGTGGGTAGGAGGCCAGGCTTCCCAGATTAGGAAGCGGACTTGCATGGCTATTTGGGAACAGGGTGGGGGGGAATGAAAAGCAAAGGGCTTTAAGAGTCTTCCCAACAGAACAAGGAATGAGGTACAAGACCTCTCTGCCTCAGAGACTTTGTATGCCCTTAAGAAGGGCTTGAGGGACAGGGGGATTCAGGCCCACAAGTGGAAAATGTGTGTGAGTGTGAGTGTGAAAGGAGAGGACACTCAGCTCCAAAATGGCCTGTCATAGCCCATATGTCATGCAAGACCAGACCCTAGTCAGGGTTCAGCCACCTTCCCACCTGCAATCAATCCCTCCCCAAATAGAGTCGGTGTGGGGGGTGTCCTATGGGATCTGTCCCTTCCTCACCCTCCCTCAGAGCAGCTTGAGCTATCTATGGGCACAGGGAAACTGTTCTAATGCAAGTGATTTCGGCATAGCACTGCCCAGATGCAGGTGTCTCACCAGGACGTATCCCAGCAGAGGCTAGGGAGATGAAGTGCTGATGGAGGTGGGATAATCCAGTCACTAACCAGCCACACCACTAGCATGGCTGTTCAATTATAAAAACAGGCATTTTTACACACTTCCAGTTAAAACAGCTCAATGGCATGTTGAGATCTCAGTGGGGGAGGAGGGAAACAGGAGAGTGCTTTGGAAGGGCAGGGAGGGAAGCAGCACCAAGATCAGCTTCTAAAAGAACAAACCAAGTAAGAGAAAGTCATGATCATGAAGTGCCAGGTCTGTGGCCTGGAGACAGGTCGGTCTATACATGGACCTGTGTCTCCTCCCGCAAAGCCACAGGGAACACCCATCACAGGGAAGATCTGCATATCAAACCAAGGAGAGAGAACAAGGGGGTGGTTATGGCTCAGTCTGGACAGACATGCCATGATTAAGGATTAATGCACAAGATCATGTTCCATAGGAGAGAGAAGGCAGACTGCTCCAATCTCCTAGCTGTTCCTATGTTAGGGCCATAGCTAATCCATCAATACAAACTAGTGCCCCAAACACGGCTGCATGAAACCCTAACAGCCCTCAGACCTGCAAGCCAAGCTGTAGTGATTTGGGTCTTTACTGTAGAATACCTGTGAAAGGTTTTTTAACAGTGGGAGGGAGCTGGCCCTCGCCAGACGGAGAGCTTAAAAACACAAAAGCCTCAGACAACTTCAAACCCTCTTCATGGGCCTCACATTACGGATTCTTGATTTCCCTGTATGGATAGCTCAGAAACAAGAAACAGGATGCATCTCTCAATAGCCAGGTGGATAGTGGAGATACAACTCCCTTCCTCTCCCTGGCTATCATATGGCGGAATTTTGAGAT